AAAAAAAAAGAAAAAAAAATAAACATAAAAAGGTAATAAGAATTATCTACATTATGCTAATAATTTGAAAACTTTGATAAAATGGATACATTCCTAGAAAAAAGATAACAAATCTGACAAGAAATATTGTATAGCCATAATACTGTAAAAGAAATAAAAATTGTTTTAAAATGTCCACATACAAAAAACTTCACCAAGCCCAGACCGTTTTACAAATTAAACTTTCAAGGAACAAATTATTTTAGTTTTATCCAGAGTCTTCCAGAGAATAGAAAAAATGGAATTACAAATCATAAAAGATTGGTAAATTTGACTATGTTATAATTAAAAACTTCTGGCTGGGGATAGTGGCTCATACCTGTAATCCCAAGACTTTGGGAGGTTGAAGTGAGAGGATTGCTTGAACTCAGGAGTTCAAGACCAGCCTGGGCAACATGGCAATACCTTGTCTCTGCAAAAAAAGAAAAATAATTGCCTGGTGGCATATGCCTGTAAGTCCAAGCTAGTTAGGAGGCTGAGGCAGGAAGATCACTTGAGCCCAGGAGGTTGAGGCTACATTGAGCCATGATCATGCCACTGCACTCCAGCCCAGGCAGTAGAATGAGACCCTGTCTCAAAAAAGAAAAAAAATTAAAAACTTACATTCATCAGAAGACACCCAAAAGGAAATGAAAAGACAGGCTACGAAAAGACAGGCCACAAACTGACAGAAGACATTTGCAGTACATATAACCACAAAAGATTAGTAATAAAAATGTATTTTTTAAATGCTTACAAATCAGTGAGAAAAGGTCAACCCTAAAGAAAAACAGGCAAACAGCGTGAACAGGCTTTCACTGAAGAAATATCCAAAAAATATGAAAAGTTGCTCAACCTTCATTTATAGGAAAGTAAAATTAAGACCAAAATGACTTACCATTTATTACCTATGTGAATTGACAAAATTAAGAAATCTAACACCTCTGATTGTATCAAAGATTGTAGATGAGCAAGATGTCCTTTACTGCCTATGGGGATATAGATTGGTACATTCATTTTGGAAGACAATTCAGTGTTATTTCATAAATCTGAGCAGTTTTATCCCTGTGACCCAGCATTTTGTGCATCCAAAGATTATACATGAATGTTCAAAGCAATACTGTTTGCAACAGCAAACCTTGGAATCATCTCAGATGCTCATCATCATGATAATGGATAAGTGCATTTTAGTGTAGTCTCACAATGGATTATTATTCATTAATGAAAATGAACAGACATTATTGAAGTGCAGCAGCATGGAAAAAATCTTAGTAGTGTGTTCAGTAAGAAGAGGCAAGTCCCAGAAGACGGAGTGAGATTGTGATGCCTTTTTTTTTTTTTTTTTTTTTTTTGGAGACAGAGTTTCGCTCTTGTTACCCAGGCTGGAGTGCAATGGCGCGATCTCGGCTCACCGCAACCTCCGCCTCCTGGGTTCAGGCAATTCTCCTGCCTCAGCCTCCTGAGTAGCTGGGATTACAGGCACACGCCACCATGCCCAGCTAATTTTTTGTATTTTTAGTAGAGACGGGGTTTCACCATTTTGACCAGGATGGTCTCGATCTCTTGACCTCGTGATCCACCCGCCTCGGCCTCCCAAAGTGCTGGGATTACAGGTGTGCGCCACCGCGCCCGGCCTGTGATGCCTTTTTTATATTGTTCAGAAGCAAAATTAAAACATTGTTTAGGCATATATATGCACTGTGTGTGTGTGTGATAAAACTAAAGGAAAAAAAAAAATAATAACTCAAATTTCAGGATAATGATTACCTCCAAAGGGAGGCAGATAGTTAGAATGTAAGTCACTGGTAATGTTTTAGATTTTGAATTTAGTTCTTTGGTTGGGTCTCTAGGTATTTATTGTCTTATTAAAAAACAATGTATCAAGAAACAAAGATTATGATTAATCCACACAGGGCAAGTGCCCAACACATATTTATTGAATATGTGAGTGAATCTTATTCTTTGTGCCTGGCGTCCAAAGTGGGGTTAGGGTTGGGATAGTCTTCTCAGTTTCTTTGTCTAAATTCTTCACTTTTTATCTTTGTCTCAGCCTAAGCATCCCTCTGATGAAATTCTTTTGACTTTCTGAGTAGTGAGATTCTCATGGTTCTTGGTTCCCACCAAGATTCTTCTTGTTTTCTCCTTATTTCCTCCCTTTCCTTCTATTTCTCCCCGAGCCTTCGTTTACTACTAAGTGCCTGAATACCTTACTACTAAGTTGCCAGATGAAGCCAGAAATCCCTGTTGACATTTTGTCTTTCTTCATGACTTAACTGATTACATAAAGATATTATAGACACCTTTTATCTTCCTCTCTCAAAAGGTAATTGATTATAGTTACAAAATACAGAATTTTATTTTGCCATGGGAGGGCCCAGGCAAAATAAAATTCTTGGAGTTATAGATCATCTAGCTGAATCCCTTATTACTTCACAGATAAGAAAAGTGATATACAGAAAAGTTAAATGATTTTCTCATAGTCACACAGCTAGGAATAGCAAAAATAGAGCCGCAATCCAGGTCTCCTAATTTCTAGGCCATTGTTATCACTCTATGATATGGTTTGGCTGTGTCTCCACCCAGATCTCATCTTGAAGTCCCATGTGTTATGTGAGGACCCAGCGGGAGGTAATTGAATCATGGCGGCAGGTTTTTCCCGTGCTATTTTTGTGATAGTGAATAAGTCTCATGAGATCTGATAGTTCTATAAGGGGGATTTTCGCTGCACTAGCTCTCTCTTCGCCTGCCACCATCCATTTAAGATGTAACTTGCTCCTCCTTGCCCTCCACCGTGATTCCCCAGCCATGTGGAACTGTAAATCTATTAAACCCTTTTTCCTCTATAAATTACCGAGTCTCAGGTATGTCTTTATCAGCAGTGTGAAAACGGACTAATATACTATATTAGACTGACAGAGTAGACCTTGCTTCAATGACAGGTCTCTGAGGGCCTTATAGATATGTGAGTATGTACAACAGAATATGGGGGGAAATGTGGGCAAATGTTCCACTTACCGTAGTTACTCCAGCATTTGACCGACTGTCTTGTATGTTTTCTACCCTATTCTTCTCTGGTTTTCTGTTTTTTCTTCCTCAGACTATCTTTAGCTTAATGGCATTGGGTGCCCTGTGGGAGTAGGGGTGGGTATAAATAGCGTTCATGTATCTAGTAGAGGCTCCAGTGACTTGGCCATAAAGTTCAGGTTGAAATAGGGGACATTGAAAAAGGAGGTGATATACTCCATCTGTTTGTTTAGTCTTGTTTAGGGACTTCTGATAAGTGCATACTCTGGACACAAAGCATCTAGGAATTATTCTAGCCACCATGATCTCAGGGTCTGGGCTCAGGAAATGGAATGCCAATCATTGAATCAGTATGGAAAGGAAAGTGTGCAGCAGGATTGGGGTGGGACAAGATTTGGTTTATATCATAAGGGTCATCTCTGAGACCTGTCAGATAAATCAGATTGTTCTTTATTATCTTCTTATCTGCCTCCTCTGAAGTATAACCTGAATGGGAATTTTACTTCTTGTCACTAACATACCCAGTTTGAGAGAAGGTCATGATGTTCGGATGGAGAGCTGAACATAGTTAAGGCTAATGGGGAAGGTGAAAACAGAGGGGTTATGAGTATCTGTCCTGTAAAAGGAAGAAATTGGCAATTCAATCCTTGAGGCTCTTGGTATTCTGAGTTTTGTTCAGGCCCTACCTAAACCTGTCATGAGACCTGAGTGTAAGTGCATGACGAATTGATAGCCTGAGCAGTGAAGAATGTCAGTTCAACAGCTGCCACTATTTCTATACCATGGCTATCAGAAAACCGAGGACTGATCAGAGTGGAGTTAATAATAATAGAAAGTTCCAAGGTAGAGTGGTGAGAGTGCTTATGACCTATAATGATAGTGTCATCTCCATCTTTATCTCTCTCCTTGTGGGACACATACACAAGCATGTGTGTGCACATGCATACACAATTTTATCCCTAACTGTGATAAGATTGGGCCAATGACAAAGCTCAGTACAGAGACTAACGTCTTATCCTCAAACCAGAAAGAGTGAGGAGTAGGAGCACACAAGCACATTTTCATAGCTAAATAAGAAAATTCCAAGTTGAGTCTATACATGCTATAAATGGGTAAAGATGGTAGAGAGTTTATGGGATTTAATGTGGAAACTAGATGGAATGGGCACTTCTTTCTCAAGCTTGGAAAGACTTTTTGAAGTAGGATCCTTCAAGGTAGTTGCCATTGTGACTTCCTGTGCAAAACTATTCATTACTTAACTGCTGCT